TTAATGTGGAAACTTTTCATCTATATTGCATTACTCCCGCATTTTAACGCACATATATTGGTGCACTGAGCAGCCATTGGACCAACAACATCTGGCCTCTCTTGATGAACACCACAGACAGTCAACAAGACGATTAATACACATTGAGTTGTGTTTAATCAAACCCCTAAAAGGGGAAAATGTCGAATCTTGGCTTCATTGTAGAAGCGGGAAATGTTTCAGTGGATTAGTAAATCCTACTGAGTCAACAGCACGGAATCCACTCGCCAATAATCGTTGTTTCTATATGATTTGTATTTATAGCTTTCATTAATCAGATGCTGGCGCTCAAAAAAATCCGTCGAAAACGTGAGGAAACGCTTTCAATTTATCGATTAATGAATTGCATTATATTTCGAATGTTTTCAACGATACTGGAAATGTCAATCAAGGCCTGATGCGCAAATAACCGATTTTGGACATTTGACTCTTGATTCTTGAGAGAGAAACTTCCGGTCGACCAGACACTAACTTAAATAATGTATTTCAACATTATGCACCTGCTCAAAGATTTGCGTGCTATTTCATCTATTGAATTTGGATACCAGTTTTCGATTAGACCAAAAACTACTTATATCTTCATAGACATATAATAACCTAAGATTTTTCTATATTTAATATTTAATATTATCTCGAATAGTAAAGGTTTTACGATGTAGTCTTGTGTCCGTATAATTAACAAGAGCAACATCGCGTGTCAAGTACAGTTTACTAATTGAATTGGTTCATTTTGTTGGTATTCACCTGTCAACGGTCCAGAATGAGCATTTTAAGACTGTTTTCAGAACCAACATCTTCTGTGACACAATGGAACTTCACCTACATTTCATATTCTTAAGTAATTTGTTATTCTTTCTAGCTGGGCAACATTGATAATTATGTAATAGCTGGAGAATAATTTTAAACACAATTCAATCTAAAAAAGAAAAGAAGATATTTATAATTTTATATGGGTAGATGAACAGTAATGTTTCGCAGTTTCGCCGATAGAAATATATAGAGGTTAGCCCTGAAAATGTTCCGTCCTCTTCCAGCTTCTATAAATCAAGATGTTAAACGCTGCTTGGTTGTACCTGTATTAGCAACATGATAGATGAAGATCATTCCATTAATATAACTTTCTTTTTTTTTATATATGAAACTGTAAACGTCTCAGATTGAACAGGTTGCCTTCGGTTCGGTACTGGCTTTAGAGACCGTATTTAGCACCAGTTTATCCTGTGGCGCAATGAAGTATTACTTATACGATTTCATATGCTTAAGTCATTGAAAATTTGATGTATTTTCTTACTAGCCAACACTGCTATCGATGAGGTACCAGATTTAGAGACAGTTTTCAGCTTTAATGTATTCTATGGTGCAGTGAATTGCGTTTGTTCAATTAATGAATATATAGAAACTTAAATACAACACAACAAAACCCCTATTTCGTTGTCAAAACAAATGTTTATATGAAATGAATACATTACTACTTTACAATTACTTGATTGTTGCTAACATGCTGATTATTGCTTGATACATAATTCTATGGAGTTGAAAGAATAAGACATAAAAGACTAAGTAGAGGGTCGATTAAATAATATAAAAAACTAAAAAACAATGGTGCATTTTCTTACTAGGCAACACTAGTATCGATGAGGTACTAGATTTAGAGAAGGCTTTCAGCTTTAAAGTTTTCGATGGTTCAGTGGAACATCACACATAGGAAGATGCCACAAATTGGTTAGTCTAAGAACGTTGCCAACACCATTTCATACACTTAAGTTATCTAGAATTTGCTGTTGTTGTTGTTGTTGGTTGTGGTGGTGGTGATATTTCTACACAGACAACACTGAATTGCGTGTAACTAGGGGATCAAGCTGAGGGAAATGGGTTAAAGGACTTCAATTGTTGAAGAAAACCATTTATGCTCTCGGTGACGATCACTCCCAGAAAGTCTACAAAGATTACAGGAAACACTTTCTTTGCTTCTCTGCAATACTAAAGTATAATATAAACTCGAATAGAATAGTAAATTCTAAGAATTCGAAGTCCTAAGAAAAGAAGGATCTATTTTATAATTTTCATAAGGATATGAGGATGGAGAAATGTTCGTAATCTCATTTTTTGGTATTTTCGGAATTTTGATCTGAAAATTTCCGTGTGTAATGCTTGTTGTAAAAATATTGATCACATTATCACTTGCACTAACAAAAATAGATTATGGAAATAACTATTTGTACTTTCAATTAAATAGTATTTTCATCATTAGTTTACGTAATTAACAAGAAATATTTACCCAATTAATGAATATATAGAAACTTAAATACAACACAACAAAACCCCTATTTCGTTGTCAAAACAAATGTTTATATGAAATGAATACATTACTACTTTACAATTACTTGATTGTTGCTAACATGCTGATTATTGCTTGATACATAATTCTATGGAGTTAAAAAAATAAAACACAAAAGACTCGGTAGGGTGGAAACAGAAATTTGTGTTTATAATAGAAACTTACAATTATTTTCGCTGACTCGAGAAGTCGAAATCAGTTATTTTCCTAATGAAGTGTGGAAATTTTGTCAACTGATTCACATCTCCATGTTGCTCTTTATATAGGCTGGTCACTCTTGTTTTCCATATGTTACATCGTTAAATAATTTTGATCGTTTACTTGAGTAATGTCTGTTGTAAAGTATAACGTTCGATTAAAGGATTATCGGTTATTATAGAACTAAAAATTTATTGAGGTAAATAAATATTATTTTCAACTTTCTTCAGTGTAATTAACGTGTTTCCATCTATTTATTGTACATATGCAAATTTAAAGAGCGCGCAACAAATGTTGCATTAGTTTAACAGCTAGGTGTTAATATAGAACAAGTCTTATTATAATGTTTAGAATATATGTTGGCAAATACTATGATTTATTATTAACTAGCAGTAGAGCCGGTGTTGCCCGGGAATGCAAGATTTGGGGACGGCTGTTGCTTTGAAAGATGCGCTTTGTATGTTGACGGGAACTAAGTTTCTACAAAATGTTGAAACGCAATGCACACAAAGTTTAAGCAAACATCATGCAGGCCCAAGTATTCGAAGGTATCGAAGGAAGTAACGGAAAGCCGTTGTAGCATCAGTCATTTCCATTACTAAGACATCTGTGAGTAAAAGCTGGCTGCAGTTACAGCTTTAACCAATTGGACCTTTAAGCATTACTAGAAGCACTTGTGGTAAGTAGTCAAGAAACGACGATTCTGTTGCAACATACATAGGGATTGAAGGGAAAACGTGCCGTGAGGAAGCCATAGACATAAAGTATGTGCCGTTCGCAATTACAAACAAACCGCTTGTCTAACTAAAAGACGCGTCTTATGCCCATAAGACGACGCTGTCACGACCTCAAAGAAGAACCGTAAAACCAAGAGAAGAGCGAACAATGACGGGGTGTCATGGTAAGAAAATTTCTGTGATATAACTTCCTTTATTCCGATCTGTCACCATCTACATCGCGACTGAGAGCCCTTAAAACCGCAACGGGGGTAGCCGTAAGGCCGAGCCTCAATTGCAATGGAGAAGTGTCTTCTCTTCAGTGACCGTCAACATCACGGCTGAGAGCTTATGAAAACCGACCGGGGTCGCCGTACTTGGCGTGTGGTTTTAGGTTTTTTTTACACGACTACAAACAAAACAATAGAGCTGTATGGCTGACATGTTTCACCCATGGCAGCCGTAAAGTGTATATACAAGCAGAAGCCTGAATTTCGTAGATGCACTCGACTTTTGTGACAATTAAACGGACTCCGAAGCTTCTCAAGTGTGAATGTGCTTGTGTGCACTGGTACGAACTGCAGGTGCTCCGATCAACTGTTAATGAAACCGGAACTTTAGTGGAGCAATCATTTCTAATGCCGGTGTTCATGTGTCTAGCAGCTTGTGTTGCAACTGAATACGGTGAGGTTATCATAGTGTACAAACGCACGCGATGATGGCAGGTGAAGGTATGAAAGTCAGAAGGCAGCAAAAGAGCTGGATAACCTTTACAAAGATGTCTTAGTAATGGCAAGTGGAGACTACGATGACCTAACGTTAAAACCAATATGACAAACAAAAAATTGCCATGCAATCGGACTGCATATGTGTGCATGGCCTTAAAAGCTACCGGGTGGGTTGTCTACAGGACCTCCGTGTAAGTTATGTTTCTAGCACAGTTGTTGGGAGAGTAAATAGAAAACCTGTTCTTAGACCCAACTCGTGGGCACCCAACGTGAAGTTGGCCGTGAGAGAAGCACTGCTCACGTAAATGCAGACCTGCGATGCTAAGCGTCTGTCCTCGTGATTTGTTAATGGACATAGCAAAGCAAAGCTTCACGGGAAATTGTGAGCGACGAAAGTTGATTGGTATGCTTGCGTCTGACGGCAGAATATGCATCCTGGGAATCCAAACGATTTCTCCTTTGCCGCAGCCAGTTGCAATGGTCGCCTCAATCAAGTTTGGAGAAAGGAATTTAATAATGAGGCGAGTCCCGTTGAACTGTTACGTAGGAGCAAATTCCTGATTAGCATAATAGGAGCACCCACCAACTTTGAGCCGAAGAATATGAGGTGGGAGTCTGGACGACTGAAGGGGGTTCAAAACTTCTATGGGATACTCAGCTAATTCAGATAGATGGGAAGTTCTGTCGATGGACTTATAAACATGACATTGCCCGGGAATGCAATCCAACAGTTTATGGTTGATGGAATCAACTGTACAGTTCTTCGGTGCCAATATGGCCCTGCCAGCAAGCCAATCGGCATCTGCAAAATTAGTGGATAGGTTGTAGAGGACTGCATTTATCAATTCATCCGGTGATTCAACAGTGGTGGCAAGCTGATCAATCTGCACAAAACCCTGTGTGTCAGATGGCATTTTCCCTTACCCAAGAGCAAGAAGGTCCCATGCGAAGTCAGCGCATCTGGAGTCCCCATTCAAGAAGTCACGTGCTCAGTTTAAGAGTCTCCACGGGGCGCCAAAGGGCAGACGACTTCAGGCAGGCGCGGACAGCGTCAACGCGTGTACCTTTTGGAATAACAGGTAGAGTCTGCCTAAAGTCGCCTGCGAGAAGGGTTACTCCACCCATGGGTCGGAGGAGTCCCAGGATCCGGAATTTCAGCAGAAATTAAATCGTCTATTTTGTTTGCGTCAACCTTATTGTTGAGCCACAGCAGAATGTGGGCATGAGGCAAACCGCGTTTCCACCATTCCACTGTTTACTTTTGACACTTAACGCGTCCGAACACTTGCCCATTAAGGATTAAATCCATAAGCTTACACATCTGTAACCGGAAAACGCGGGCAATTAGGTCAGGGCGGTGTGAGTACTGCTGACCTGGAAAAAGTTTGCGTGTGATTTCAACCCATTTCGGATTGCACGTGAACGTGACGAACAAATCAGAACTCCCGTAATGACGGACATAGGTCATTGCGTCTTGTGTCCTTTCATGCATATATCGAGGGCCACGAGTGTAAGAGGAAGGCAAAATGCACGTTTTGCCGGGATTGCGTGGGTCACCATCAGAACGCAGACCATCACGAATGTAGGAGTCGGTTCCAAGTTTGGATTGGTTCAACTTGATGAATCCTAACCTCTCCGACTCCATTTTTTCAGCCATGTCAACAGCAAATTCAAGAAATAGTTGACGGCACCCGTGCAAGTGGTTAAATTCACCCTCCCTAACCATAAACATGTACGCATAGTAAGCCGTACAGGAGACCGTCTTTGAGGTCGACATGGAATCGCTGCTTGCCTGGTATATTGGGATTTTGAAGTGGTACCCATCCCTTCCGTATGCAAAAGAAGTGGGTACTGGAGACAGTCGTACGAACGGTGGGTTTCACTGATGCGGTGCAGAACATCGCCCCGGTACCATATGACAATGTCACGGCTGTTATGCTTCTCACCGTGGATGACTGCGGCGACTTCATTACATGCAGGAGCATTGAAGCGACGCTCATGCTCACCGTGAGGCCATCTGTCTGCATCGATGACAACGCTGAAAGAGGGCAAAGAGTTGTTTTGCAACGCAGACTTTAAGCTTCGGATGTAAGTGTTAGATTTGTGAAGCATGTCTTGTAGACGGAACAGAATGTCTTTACGGGGACCGACAGAAATAGCGCTAGGCAGAATGCCGAGACGTGCATCAACCTTATCGTTGTAGTCAGCGAGAAAGTAAATTTGTAGGAACTGAGGTGGCTCTCCCTCATCAGCCAAAAGTGATCTCAATAAGTGGTAAACCTGGGCTTGCACTTTGAAAGTAGGCAACCATCTCCCCTCACTAATAGCCTTCGCACCAAAAGACGTCATCTGGAAACAACAGTTGTATTTCCGTATTGCTTCAAGAAAATGCGTTGACTCCGAAGTTGTACCCAGAAGGAGGTACCTAAGCGGCTGGGGAGGTTCGTCTAAAGAAGTGATAAATAGAGCTTAGAATAGAATATATGAAACACAATACTTTTCAAGAGATTAAAAGTCGAAAGCAATCTCATACAGGCAAATGCAAAGTACGCCAAATGCAATCATTTGATCTCTATGGAAGGGAACCATTAATTGTTGGTCGCGCATAAAAGCATCTTTTTTAACATTATTTTTACATGAATTTAGAACTTTAAATTAATTTAATAATGAATAAAACAACGCATTATTCGTTGAAAATCCTATATTTAAATTTACTCTTTATCAATCTAATTTGATTTCATAAAATTATTTTTTAAAGGATTCACATTCTCACTTGGCTGAATTTCTTCATTTTAACATTCAGAGCACTGGACAGGAAATCACACCGTACGGGTCGACCGGCCAAATAATGCTTTGTTTTAATTAGACAGTCGGGTTTCCCCGGTTGGTACGAGTTGCGAGTCGGACGTTCGCTGCCGGACGAAACCCCTCAAGCCGAGAAGGACACTGAAAAACGGTCGGGATGGGCGAGCGATCGAGGAGCAGTTTTGCTCGCCAAACGACGCACCGGTAGCAACAAGGTAGCACGACAAGCGGAAACCCGTAGCGAACTACGATCGAGTAGCGAAACAGGAATGGATAGAGAAAAGAGCGAAGACGACGAGCATCAGCGGCAGAGAATCGGTTGACCCGGAGATTGTAAACGCGTGGCGACAAAGACCACGACCCGAGAGACGCTGCCAGTACACGACTGCGCGAGCGTCTCCCCAACCCCAAGGTCTTAAAAGGAGAATAGGTTTCTCAAGTTCAATAACTGTCATCGCCTAATCCATTAGTGATGGTGTTACATGTGTTATACATTTTAATTGTTGCTTTTGTTGAAAGTAATAGTGTCAAGTCATTTCCAGTAATTTAGTACAGTTATTTGTTTTATTCCAGTTCACAATGTTCAATGAGATCTGGTCTTTGTGAATAAACACAGGGTTTAATCGCTTAAAGAAATTTGTAACTGAGGAACATATTGAATACAGCTGACAATAGGATTTCCAGTCTGGCGCGAAGAATGACACCTATATAAATGTTTCAATCTGACGAGACTATTTAATTATATGAATAATTTTCATGTTAGTTTTGTAACAGTTCCTGGTGTTGGTCGAAACTAACTCTGGTGTCGTGATATCCATGCTCAATATTTTCTTTTTCCTATACTTTATTGAAATGGTTGGATTATTCTATATTCACATCCTGAAAGTTTATGATGGATTCAGGATAAGAGTTATTAATGTCTTCTTTCCAATTCCAGATCATAAATTCTCTTTTGCAAAATGGGTATTTTTGTACTATTTCTTGGCACATTTTGTAGAGGATGTTGAATTTCTGTCCAAGATCATTCTTATACCAACACTGAACATTAACCACCTATTCAGTCATCATAGCCCTTTCATCATCAGTACATTTCATCTCAGTTTTCATTTGAGAGTATCATAGACGGGTTCTTTTTTTTTTAGTGGCATATCAACCTGTATAAAACTAGCCTGTATTCTTATAGCAGTTTAATTTCAAACCTTTCCTCATGAACTCATCACGCTTCCATGAAAAATCTCGCTTCTCAAAACAGTATCGCTTTTGGTATTTGCCTATATTTCTGAGATGAGGTATTATGTACACTATTTACATTATTCGAACTATTGTCCTTATCTTTGTCGCTATATTTATTACAACGTTTCGGCCGTTGTACGCTCCGGCCTTCTCCAGGTGTTTGGAATGTCGAACTGAACGCTTTATTCCGCTTGCTGGGGTAGACTTTTCTAGTTCCACGTGCCATGTTTAATGGATGTCAGTTATTTCCTGTTAATTCCCCTCACCAAGTTCTCGACCGCCTTAACCAGGTATTGAACTCACACTCTTTGGGTCCTGTCGCTGGATCTAACTAACGCCTTCATCCACTGTGCCATGTGTCCTCAAGGACATTCCGACCACCTGAAGAAGGCCGGAGTGTACAACGGCTGAAACGTTGTGATAAAAATGGCAACAATGATGAGGGCAATAGTCCGAATAATGTAAATAGAGTCTTGCGTTTTTTAACAAATCTGATTCTTCAAAAAAATTTGCCTCTACTACAAATCTCACAACTTGAATAAGTTTTGTTTCATATCAATATTACAGCTATAAGTTTTAGATCCGTCTTTCTCTAAAAAAAATGCCAATTCTCATTTTTATGTAAGATTGATTTCCCCAAAACACATTTACTCGAATAGATGTCGAATCATTAAAAAGTCTAAATATCTGTCTATATAAAAGTTTCAAGAACATCAGAAAACTGTAACACGAGGGGATGTGGAAAAATCAGGCGTGGCTGACCACATATGGAGAGAAAAGGGAGATCACCGCCCTCTGTTGGATCAGGTTGAGATCATAGACAAAGAACACCATTGGAAAATTCGTTAACATAAGGAATCAGCACATATGCTAGGCCACAAAAATCACCTAAGCCAACCAAGCATAAAAATGAATAAAGTATGGGAACCGGTAATATAGAGTGCCAGAGAATGAGCTCTGGTTAAAAATGGTTGCTGAAGACATTAGGTTTATAATACCCAGGAATTCATACATAGATGTCCTCAAGGACACATGTCACAGTGAAAACGTTAGTTAGATTCAGTGACAGGACCCAACGTGAGTTCAATAGCCGGTTAAGGCTGTGGAGAACTTGGAGAGGGGAATTAACAGGAGGTAACTGATAACTGACATCTATTAAACATGGCACGTGTAACTAGAACAGTCTACCCCGGTGAGCAAAATTAAGGGTTCAGTTCGGGATTCTAACCACCTGAAGACGGTCGGAGCCTACAACGGCCGAAACGTAATAAATATGGCGACAAAGACGAGGACAATAGTCCGAATAATGTAAATCTAAATATATCAAATAGAACATAACTTCCCTATTACTTCTTGGAAATACCGATTTTACAACAAATCTCAAATCCACATAAACAAAACCTCGTTCTCGTACATTGTTTCACGCCTTAATAATTTAAATTTTCCATATATAGACTTCCATATAAAACTGGCGCAAAATATGGCTTGTTAATTCTAACGTCTCTAAAACTATACTTCACTCCATTAATCATCAGAGAAAGCACTTACTGCCTTCCATCATCATGGCTGATGCTATCCTCCAGGAAAGTGACATGTTCCGCCTTCTTGGGTTTACGTTCTCTGCTGACATGAAGTGGAAAGACTATATTGAATCCATTGCTAAGTAAGTTGCTCAGAAAGGTGGTTCTCGAAGACACAGACAATCTTTTAATCCAGAATCTTTCTTACATGTCCATAAATCTGCCATTCGTCCATACTTGGAACATTGCTGCCAAATATGAATCAGTGACCAGTGATATTTACTTTGAGGTCCTCGATAAGATCCAAAGAATAATCTACAATATTAATGATACTAACCTGGCGACTTAGCTCCAGTCAATTGCCCGCCTCCGTAATGTTGTCTCTCTATGCCTTTCCTATAAACACTATTATGGTAATTCTTCGAATGCATTGCACTCTGGTAATTTTAAAAACTAGAGACTGCTCCCTGCTTATAATGCGTCGCTCTTCGGTTATGAATTGAGCGCTCTTGCTGCTTATTTGACGTTTATATACATCACGTATATAATACGTTAAAAGATTCCCTTTGGTAGAGTCTCTGACTGATGCCAAATCGGTCGAGTTCCGATCCCGGCTTGAAGGAATCGGACGTATGTTTAGCCACACTGATGTGCTGTGATACAGCAATACAGACTGGTACACACACACATACATACATACACACACACACACACACACACACACACACACATATATATATATATATATATATATCTGTATGCATAAATAGTTTTGTATCTTAAATTTATATAATTTGAAATCACTCCAAATATCTAGTATATTTCATTTCAAAAATCGGTTGGATATATATATTTCATTTCAAACTTCGGTTGAATATAATGAATAATGAAATATAATACCGGTTGGATCTGAAGACCAAGAATCAACATGAATAAAATAATCTAGAATTGGTTTATTTTACTAGTTTTTATAATTTTCCTGTATTCAGATAATATTAGTTCTACAACAAAAAAGAAAAAAAAGAAAAAAAAAAAACGGTTCTTTTACAATTCCTGGCGTTTTATGAAAAATCAGCTCCATATATAAAGTATATAATGGGTAAATATTCGTCAATTTGATTATGAATTTCGCGCGTCCGCGTAGATTGTTTTTGATTTTTTCGACTGCTCACTATTCTAGGCTCAGCTGGGCACTCTCAAGGAGGAAAAGAGCGCCATGATGCTGACAAAAAATCAATTATGGAAATAAATATTTTCCTTCATTTTCGAATAAATACTATTTTCAAAACTTTTCTAATTAACCAGAAACTTTCAGCCATTTAATGATTATATAGTAAATGAAGTTCAACGTTAAATTGGATGAAAACTTAACATGAGATCAATAAAGAACTAATAAAATTTTAAGAATAAATTTCAACAGAATCGGTCAAATACTTTAATAGAATTTCTTTTTTGTTGCTTAAATTCGAATTAGATCTTGATACATTATTCTACTAGTTAGAAAGAATAAGGCATCAAGCGACACACGGAATGGATTTAATAAGATAAAAACTGTCAAGTGGATTAACGGAACTAAATCGACAGACTCAAAAAGTTATGATTATATTAGATATTTGCTATTATTTTCGCAGAAATGAAAAGTTGAATTCAAATATTCTCTTTCAAAAGTGAGAAAATTTAAGCAGCTGATTCACATCTGTTGCTTCTTACATAAAGTGATCTCCCTTTTTTCCATATGTTACCTGGTTAAATAAATCTGATTGTTTATTTGAGAAAAGTCTGTTGTAAAACAATTCATAATGGTCTCATTATGAATTTTAATGAAAGGTAGATATTTTATTATGGAACTAAATATTTATTGAGGCAAATAAATATTATTTTCAACTTTCTTCGTCGTAATTATTTTCGCAGAAGTGAAAAGTTCATATCAATTATTCTCTTGTTGAAGTGAGAAAATTTAACCAGCTGATACAGATCTCCATGTTGCTCTTTATATAGTGTTATCTCCCCTTTTTCCATATGTTACATCGTTAAATAAATTAAGTAATGTCTGTGGTAAACAATTCATAATGATCTCATTTTGAATTTTACTGAAAGGTAGACATGTTATTATGGAACTAAATATTTATTGAGATAAAGAAAAAAATAACAAAAATATTCTATTGTTAAGAATAAATCTTTGAATCCTTGATGAAAATAAAAAAAACAAAAACTTTCATCAATTTATTGAATGTGCAAAACTTTAAATACCATACAACAAAAAGGCGGTTTTATTAATGGAACAGATTAATTTGAACCTGATATTCGTACAGAATTACGAATACTTGAAAAAAAAAGAATATCAAAGGCTTTCGTCCATTTATTTGAATAAACTCAACCTTAAATTCAACTCCTAAATTTGATAGTGTCGGTCTCAGACTCAATACGGAGGACTATATCAAGAGACTTGAGACGTATATATATATATATATATATATATATATATATATATATATATATATATATATATATATATATATATATATTAAAACACATAGATATCTCCCCACGCTCTTTCCATTAATCCTTTACGTATTTTATCTATATATTTTAAATTTATTTTTTAGACCTCTTTTTTACTTCTCTTTTAATTTTAAATTGATATGTTGTTCTTCATATAGC